AATATTGCAATGTTTTCACTGTGTTTTGTCAGACCTGGCAAACGCACTGTTTTAAATGCTGATTTATGCCTTAATTTCAAAGTTATGCTTCTCTAATAAAGAAAGTTTCTAGATCTATGTTCTTCAATGGTATATAGACACACAACCTATAGAGTGTTCTGAATTCTGTTGCAACAGCAGCATGTGAAGCAACAATGTAACTGCATTGCACATGTTTGCACAAGGTACAACTGGCCATTTCAGTTGATAGAAAGAAATACAATGTAAAAACAAACATTAGTAGGTTATGCTTAATTAAGTTTACTTAAAGAAGAGAAAATGTTTTTTGTGTGCTTATTAGCAGATTCAGCTTATCAACTAACAAATTTAGCATTTAAATGTGTGCTTGTGTGCATATGTTTAAATGTTAAATTTGGTTATAAGATGAATCTGTTAATAAACACACATGTATATATATCAGGTGATTGTGTATGAGCAGGATCTATACACACAGACAGAGACAGACAGGGTTTTTACGTTTCTTAATGCAATTGATTTGGTACCTCTTTATATATATTATTTACAGAAACCCTCTAATTGCCTGACTTATGTATTTTGATGATGTTTTCTACAAAGCACAAACTTCATTTTACGTGTGTGTGGGGTTGAATTTTTTGTCCTAACACTGCATTAGTTCAATAATTTTTTCATTTGCATTTTGTTTGGATGAAATGCACAATTAAATTTTGAATTCCTTTAGTATCACCCAGGAAAATGACTTTAGGACAGAATAAGCCATTGATTTGTTTTCTTTCTGGTGTTTCCTGTTTTAAGCGTGACATAAGTTATCACATCCGGTCATGGCTCTCCTATGGTCTGAAAAACCCTTTCTCATGATGTGCAAAACAGCTCTTTTTGAGAATTTAAAGAATGTAGGTTTTGGATTTTAGGAAGCAAGGCAGTCTGTGAGAGTTTCTTCTTTTCTTTTTTTTTTTTAAAGTGGTCCATGGAATGAAGTTGGAAAGCTATTGGTTGTAATGCTAGTTTAAAGTCTGCTGGTTTCTTATTTGTAGGCCCAAGCGAATGCAAGAGCTGCAGTTCTGAAAGAACAGCTAGAGCGAAAGAGAAAAGAAGCATATGAAAGAGAGAAGAGAGCTTGGGAAGAACATGTAAGAAGATGTTTTATAGCATAGTTTTATGTGGAATGATCACTACTTGACTTTTCATCTCTCAGCCAAAGAATGCAGTGTCTAAAACATTAAAAAGACTTTCAAGTCTAGTTTACTGTAGCAAAAATGAGACTCTGGGAGAGTCAGGCTACTCTTATTTAGAAGATTGGCATCAGTCACCCAGGCATGAAAATTTTGGCCTGAGTTTAAAGTATACATCAAACCTGAAAAATCATTGATTTAACCTTGAAGTATTTGGTGATGGTCTCTAACTTACTGAAATGTGCATAACTGTTTCTTTTGCTCATAAACTCTTTGGAGTGCAAAGTCAAATACATAATATTGCTGCTCTAAAAGGAAGGTATTATGAGGCCAGTAAATAGGAAATAGCATATAGCTGACAATCCTTTTAATTAGGATGAAATCATGTGTGAAATTACTTGTCCCTTTTTGTGGTACTTATCAACTTGTCATTTGATAAGTTTGTGCTCAACTCATATAAATTATTTAATGAATAAACAAGTAATGATTAGAAGGATGCATTTCAGCTAGTTTCCATTGTTGCAATAAACTACAGGACTAGCTAGAATTTATGTAAATTATTATTGCTGTCAATATTTGCCAGGCTATGGTGCTACTTTGTTTCACTTTGTGGCACTGCCATTCTGTATTTAAACAAAATTTAAATATTGAAAGCATGTGATTTACAAAAGCAGGTGTACAGAAAATGATACTTAAGATCCCTGTTCCTTTTCACATGTGGATGCTAATAGAAAGATCTTGGGTAAGAATTCAAGGGTGGGAAGGTACCAATAATAATTACTGTCTTGTGTTTCCCTATCATTAAGTAGATACACTTTCAGATATGTCATTTTGCTTCTCCTCTTCCAAGATTTTAAAACCTCTATGCATAGAATCTTTAATACGCTTCCTTTTAAAGGGATTGCTGAAGTTATTTTTTTTAAATATAAAAAATTGAGATCATGTTGAGCACTTATCTTCTGACATCACCTATTTTGTCAGTGGATTTTACTGTAAATCACTAGCTCACTGGCTTATTTTGCTGTTGCTATGACATTTTCTACAGTCCATGGGTATAGCTGTCTTCACATCAGTTCAGCAAGCTTTCCCTATGTCTCTTACTTTCTTTTAATTATGTGACCACAGTTTAGGCTTACATGAAGAACCTTTATTTCTTCCATTGTAGTAATCTCTTCTTAGGTTGGTTAAATTAGATCAGAGGTGACTAACCTTCTTGCCAGGTATGCCACAAATTAAGTTCTGTCCCCCACAAGTGCTGCTTTAACCCCTGCTGCCCAGTGTATACCTGATAAGGGTTTGTGTCCAAATGTTTGGACTGTAGGCAGGGGGACTCGAGTCTCCAGCCATGCAGAGCAGGGGCAGGACATTGCTCTAAGAGGAGCTGTCATTACCAAGAGCCAGGTAACCCTTCCCTGGTCCTGCAACAGCTACAGTTTTCTATAGTAAATGAGGATCCCTTGAATTACCTGAGGGCCAGGGAAGGGTAAACCTGGCTCGTGGTAGTGACACCTGACACCACTTACTGCAGCATTGTCCTGCCCCTCCTCTGGTCTACTGGCCGCTTGACTCCCTGTCTCTATTCTAATGCCTCCTGTTCACTGGGTGCCCAGGGCTCGTGTGCCACACACAGCAACTATGTGACACTTGTGGCACATGGGCCACAGGTTGGGCACCCCTGGTTCACTTGTCTCATGTGGTACTATATAAGTACTATGCACAGGTAGTATCTTACATGAGCTGAGTTCTTAATGTAAGGTGTTGATCTTTCAAAATGGAAGAGAACAATTTTTTTGTGGGTGATGTCTTTTATTGGATTGCATGCATGTTTAGGTAGGGACATAGATGAGTTTCTGGGTACCACTGTGCCGTTCCTCATGTTTCTGAGGGGGGGGAAAAAAGGCAGATGTAGCAGAGCTGGTTAGCAGATAAAACAAAGGAGTGTGTATGTAAACAAAAATAACATGTAAGCAATTATCAGGTTGCTAATAAATGAGAGATGCATCCTTGACCATAACAGCTATGACATCATTTTGATACTACCATGTGGTGTTCTCTCAAAACCAGCCTTCCAAGGAAAACTGTTTGTCATTTAAGATTACTTCTTTGAAAACATAATTCATAATGTACCTACTGGTACAAGGATTTCTTTAAACTGGTAACCACACAAATATAAGAAAGCTTATGAATGTAACAGGACTGATGTATTTCACTTGTTGGTTTGTATTACTGTAGCATGGTTTTGTTCTGTTTTTCCACAGTTGGCAGCCAAAGGGGTAAAGAATCCTAATATTCCTTTCCATGTGGCAGCAGCAGGAGCTAGTCCTGTGCCTGGTCAGCATGAACCTGGAGTACCTTCTGTCAAACCACAGCCTCCATTTAAGCCCGGTTCACCCATCATCTCCATGACTTCTGCATTGAAGGAAGTGGGTGCGGTAGGTACTCCACCAACATTTAAAATCAATGAAGAAACAGGAGACAAATCTACCAATTTAGGAGATTTGAAGAATATGTATTAATTCAAGAACTTTTGGTATTTTGAAACGTATGTTTTTAATAATAACTGGATACCTCAGGGGAAAAAAAGGGCTGGGAGAGATCTCAACAGGTCATCTAGTCCAACCCCCTACTGAAGGGAGATCATTGCTATCTAAACTATTTTATCCAAGTGTTTGTCAAACCTGCTCTTAAAAACTTTCAAACATGGACATAATCTTAGATCTTCCAGCCTTCTCTCATATGACGTTTTCTCTGGTGAGCAGACATTTTCTAATTTGACCACATCTTCCTTGAAATATGGTGTGCAAACTTGAACAGCAGTAATCAAGCCTCATCAGTGCTGGGTAGGACAGAAGAATTGCTTCTGTAGACATGCAAGGGAAAGTTCTTTTAAGTGTTGAAGTACTGTGAGTTTAATTTACAGATTTTTTAACTATAGGGCCATATTTCATGTTACTACTTCTTAATGAGTTTTTGAATAGTATACTAAATATTTCTGAGGATGACTGCATGGGATGTTCTTGCTATTGTATGTGTTTTTGGAAATGGTGCAAACACATCATTCTGTTTTTGGGATATTTAATCCTGCAACTGGTTATACCTTTGACTCTAACACTGCAAACAGTTCAAGCTGATATTAAATGAGACTGCTTGTAGTAGCAGAAGTTAAGCATATGAAGAAGTATTTACAAAATTGGAATTTACAGTAATATCTGAATTTATTTGAACACAGTTTTCTGTAGGGGGGTTTTTCAGGCACATAATGTAACTGTTTTTATAGGAATATATTTTTCCCCCCTTACGTGCAGCAAATTATCTTGCATGAATATTAGTTGCACTTTGAAATCTTGATGTGACTTTTTGCCCTGGTTTCTTTACCATCAGCATCTAGTAGTGAATCTTTCAATTCAAACTTTTTACAAAAGTCTGTGCAAGATAATGGCCTTCAATCATTTCTTTGAATTATTCTATTTATGCTTCATTGAAAACTGTAATGTTTTTGCAAGTTCCAAATCTATACCTTTTTTCAGTTCCCATGGTATCATCTTTGCTGATTTGTGATGTTGAAGATGAACATATATTCTTCCTGAATTAAAATGATGTTGAATAGCTGCTGGAAGGCCTGAAACATATATGTAAATTATCACTGTGGATACATTTCAGTGAGACTCATGGTGCCAAAAAATGTCCTATTTGCAAGGCCAGCAAATTAATCAGTGTTGTGTTGTTCCCCTTCAGTAGATTAGTCTTATGCTATAGTACATTTGATCTTGAAAAATATGAAAAAAACCTGATTTTATTTCTGTTTTTGTGATAACGCCAAATCTTTGTCATGCTTATTAACAGCTCTTGACACAACTCATTTTTTGTCAGAAAAAGTGTTTCAGTTGCTTATTTCCTTCAACCTCTTTCAACTCTAAGCATGTAGGATCAAATACCTTCATACATTAATGCTGGGTACTCCAATCACTGATCAAAATATTATTAATTAGCAGTAGTTAATACCATCTAGTTAAAATCATTACCTTAAGTTCTGAAAAATATCTTTATACCGAGCTGTATTATCTAATGACCTGCTCACCTTCTTGTATTCTAGTAAATCATGCTTTTCAGTGGTGTACAAATTGAAGAACTTTTTCTTTCATATCAGTGGCAGCTAATTTACTCATTAGTAGTTGCCTTTCCCTATGGTTGCACAGACTAGATCTTTCAAGTGTTTATGTACTTATAAGTACTTCTGAGTAATAGAACTGAAAAACTTGGATTAAAAATCCTAGAATCTCTCCGGTCCATGTTGGATGCACTCTTCTTAAGAATGTATATAATTTTTCACAACTATGTCCTTTCATTACCCCTAATTGCATAACTTTGCATCTACACCTCAGTTTTGCTCCTTGGAGTGAAATGTGTTGGGTGTCTATATGTTCTGAGTGAAACTGGTGGATCAGAGAAGGCAGGCTTGGCAGCTCCTTGTCTTCAAATTATGGCAAAAGGGAACCACTTTCATGGGATGGTTGGTTTGGTTTTTTTTTTAAAGCTGTCCCATCCCTGAGCTATATGTAGGTATTTCATGCACTATCTTCTCTTTTTTCAAGGATTTATTTCATTTGCTGTAGGGACCTGATTTAAAATCTGAAATATTTCAAGGAAATTTAAAAAAAATAATTTGTTTCAAATATTTTCTTAAGCAAAATTACATTCCAAATGAAGATTTATGCAAAGTCAAATAGTCCCTGGAAATAGTATTTTTAAATCTAGAAAATTAAATTTAAATATTAGGGGTGTGAAATACAAGAGTGATTTCAATCCTGCCTTCACCTAAATGTATGTGCAGACACAACTAGGAAATAACTATTGGCAGGGTCTGTACAGTGCCACGAAATGAATATTTGCCTTTTTTTGGCATAATTGTGGCTCCTCCTTTCCTCATCTTCACAGATTTAATAGACATTAGGGCTGAAAGGGACCTTGACAGATCATCAAGTCCAGCCCCCTGCCTCAGGGGAGGAAGTCAGCTAGGGTCAAACGATCCCAGCAAGATAAGTGCCCAAACATTTCTTAAGAGTCCAGAATAGGCTCCTGTACCACCTCTGGAGGGAGTCTATTCCAGGTCTTGGGGGCTCGAACAATAAAGAAATTTTTCCTTATGTCCAGCCTAAAACAGTTTTGGAGGAGTTTGTGACCACTGGTCCTTGTCACCCCTTGGGGTGCTCTGGTGAACAGACATTCCCCAAGACCCTGATGCACACCCCTTATGTACTTATAGGCTACCACCAGGTCCCCCCTGAGCCTGTACTTTTCCAGGCTGAAGAGTCCCATGGCTCTCAGCTTCTCATCATAAGGCCTGTTCTCCTGCTGATCATGTGCGTGGTTCTCTGGACTCTCAAGCTTCTCCACATCCTTGAATTGTGGAGCCCAGAATTGAATGCAGTCATCCAGCTGCGGCTTCGCCAAGGCCAAGTACAGTGGGAGGATGACATCCTCAGATTTACCTGAAGCAAGTGAATTTCTATGGATGCAAGCCAGAGTTGTGTTCGCTTTACGAGCTGTGACATCACGTTGGTGGCTCATGTTCATCTTGTGGTCAATCATGACTCCTAAATCTCTTTCAGCTGTGATGCTAGCAAGCATAGCGCTGCTGAGCCTATAAACATGCTGTGGAGTTTTTTCCCCCCCAAGGTGGAGTACCTTGCATTTTTTGGTATTGAACATCATCAGGTTTATATCCGCCCACTTCCTAAGCCTATCCAAGTCAGCCTGGGTCATCAGCCTATCCTCAGGTGTGGACACTCTGCCTCAAAGTTTAGTGTCATTGGTGATCTTGCATGATGACACCAAGCTTGGTGGAGTTGCAGCCATTCTACAAGGGGACGAGTTGGGATCCAGAATGACTTTGATAAACTGGATAAATGGTCCAAAAATCAAATGAATAAAATTAAACAAGGACAAATGCAAAGTCCTACACTTTGGAGGGAACCGTCACATGCACAAATACAGACTGAGGAATGACTGGCTAGGCTATAGTACTGCAGAAAAATACCTGCACGTTAAGATGGATTTGAGGCAAGTCTGCTTTTCTTTGGGGGGAAAAAAGGGGGGGGCAATAGTAGGAATATCACTTGCAAATGAGGAAATGATTCTTCCACTCTAGTCAGCACTGACGAGGCCTCACCTGGAGTGTACTGTGTCCAGTTTGGGGCCTACACTTCAACAAGGATGTGGACAGATTGGAGGGAGTTCAACAGAGATTAACAAAAATTATTAGAGGGCTGGTAAACGTGATTTATGAGGAAAGCCTGAAAGAACTTGGATTATTTAGTCTGGAGAAGAGAAGACTGAGGGGGCATTTGATAAGTCTTCAAATACCTGAAGAGTGGTTCTATAGAGAATGGAGATGCTCCAGTCACAAAGAGCAGGGTTAAGAGCAATGGTGTCAAATTGCAGGAGAATTTAGGTTTAATATTAGAAAGAACTTTCTCACTAAGAGGGTGATTAAGAATTGGAACAGGTTATCTAGAGAGGTTGTGGGATCTCCATCCTTAAAGATCTTGAAGAGCAGGCTAGACAAACACCTGAATGGGATGATTTACACACAGATTATCCTGTCTTTAACACTGAACTAAATCACCTCCTGCGGTCCCTTCCATCTTTCTTTTTGATGATGGGTAAATCTTCTGATGCTGTTGATTTGTTTGTGCTTGAATATCAAGAAACTGCTGTTTCCGTTATTCTTCTGGTTACTTAAAGCTCATTGTTCTCTATTTCCTTCTTTCATTTCCAGTGACATTCTTAGATTTACCCCCCTTTTTCCATTTTGCCTAGGAAATACCTTAAATTTGTCCTTGTACTTTTCTCTTGTTTATCAGGAGAGAACCTATTCCTTTGACCTATTCCTAACTTCAGATTACTGATCTGTAGAACAGTCCCAACTTTAACTTTTCTATCACACAATTCCTGTTCTGAACCTTTTTTTTTTTCATTTGCTTAATCTATTGATTTTTTTTTTTTAACCATCAGTCTCCATTTAGTGAATGATACAAACATTTGTTCAAAAGCTGAAAATATTCATTGTGCTGTTATCAATGGAAAGATGTTAGAAAGGTTAATTCTTTCTTCTCCCAGTAAAGGTTCTTAATACTCTGAGTGTATTTTTCTGACCTGTTCTCCTGTGTTGTATTTTGTTCCCCCTGAATTTAAAGGATGAAAATGCAGCTTCTGTCCCAGAAACTTCTGAGGAAATAAAAAGGCCAGATAATGCCATCCAAGTAAGTTAAATTGTTCAAATTTCTGTTCACTGGTCTATTCCTTTCCCTTCTGAGTTTCAAGTTTGTGGCATGTTTTTGGCCCTTTCTTAGAATAAGCGAGAAATACTGAGAAGACTGAATCAAAATCTTAAAGCCCAGGAGGATGCAAAAGTCAAAAAGGAGCCTCAAGACATCTGTGCAACAGAGGTGACTGAAGATAGTAAGGAACAGCATGAAGTAAAATATCCAGGGGATCGCAAGAAATGGCAACCAGAGGCAGCTGAGTTAGTGGTTCCTCTAGCAGAACTAACAATGGAAGAAACATTGTCTGGGACAGAAAGTAAGCACACTTTCTTGTTTGAAAGGTTGTACCAATCTGCTATGCGTAGTATCAGAACAAGAAGTGCTCTATAATTATAACTCTTCATTATCTAAGCCAGGAATTGGCAATTTATGGCCTCTGGGCTGGATCTGGCTGGCAAAGACAGTACATTGGCAACAATTTGGCATCAGGTTGGCACTGGTCAGGGGGTGGGCAGGAGAGAAATCAGCAGTGGCTGGGTCAGAAGTGGTGGGCTTTAAGCCTTTGGATCGAGCTCCATAAAAGCAGTCTGCTGCTCCTGAAAGGTTTCTGACCGCTAGTCTAAACAGCAGTAAACACTGTCTTTGTAGTCAATGCTGCTTTTTTGTCTGTGCTCTTTAAAAAATTGTAGGTGGTTATGTTCTATTTTTGCAATTAATATATAAATCACATGATTGAATATTCCTAGCAAGTCATCTGTGAAGGGGTTAATTTAGGTTAAGGCTATATAAAGTTATTTGAATATACTCCCACTGCAAACAGCTTTATTTAAAAGAAGGAAAAACACATATGGCATTTGAAGCTTAAAAGTAACACTTTAATAATTTCCCTTATTCTTTTTCACTTTTAGCTAGGATTAAACATCCTTGCTGAAAAAGAGAATCAGTGTGGCTGGTGTGTTGCTAAAATCTAAAGCAGTTAGTTTTAAAATGAGATGTTAATTCCATAGGGGGAAAAAAAGAATCTGCAGAGCAGAGTTACATTTCCCAAATTTACAAAATGCTTTTAGCACTGAAATGAACCCTTTTAAGTGCTTTTTTTATGAAAAATGATCAGGGATCCCACCAAGCATTCCTGAGGCTGGGAGCTGTCACCCGATGGGGCTCCCAGTCTTGGGGGTGCAGTCTGCTGCTGGGAGCTGTAGCCTAGCCACATGTTCAGTTAATGGTGTGATAAGAACCAGCCACAAAGTTATTACACATTTGATGTATAAACTTTGTGCTTATTCCTTTTTTATCATGCCATTAATTGCATTAATGTGTGGCTGGGTAACAGCTTAATCAGTGATTACACTTAAGATGTGATTAACCAGTTAATGTGTACCAACGGAGTGTGACAGGCCAGTAGGGGGCGCTCCTGCGTTGAGCCGCCCACCTCCCTGCGCCCGACCACCTTCCAGGCTCCAAGTGCCTCCCTTGGGGTGCCTCATGTCCGGCCGACCCCTTCCCTGGAGCACACCCGCTAGCCTGGGGTTCCCGCTGCCACCATCCAAGGCTCTGGACTCAATTCTGGCTCTGCGCACCTTGGAGAACACAGGCCTGATCGTCCAATGGGTACTAGACCCAATACAAGCACTTGGGGCACTTCCCCAAGTCAGGGGCTTATTAGGAAAGTCTCCCTTAGTCCGCAAACCTAAGGGGCCTCCTCAGCATAATTTAGACCCACCCCTCAATAAGTCTCCCACACCGGTCACAAAGGAGAACTTTATTGATTACAGGGGGTAGGGTGGAAACAGGGTAAAAGGTAGAGCAGTATCATAGAAATATCAGAGGAATCCCGTAGAGCAAACCAGGCTGATGGTAGCCTTTTTAAACACGCATCTGAGTTACTGTAACCTAAATATCTAGTCTGATCTCGAGCAGCTTACTCACTCGCATCATCCGGAGGTGGTTGGAGTTTTCCTCTGGAGGCAGGCCACTCTTGGAGCATGCGTTTATGAGGAGAGAGCCAGTTTCAGATGGTGAAGCTCCTCTCCCAGTTTCAGATTCACCTGGATGACTACCTGGGCCCGTGCGCAGGGCCGGGCTTTCCCCCCTGCCCAGGTGACCAGAGTATCCGCCTCCCAGGCCCCAGGCTTTTGTCATGCAGACCAGGGAGGGAGATCCCCGCCCTGAGGGATTCAACACCAGCCTCTCAGGCTGGCAGAGACAGGTCTCTGGAGAGGGGCACCGACAGTGGCATTTCTGCCACACGGACTAAGGGCACATCCCCACATGCAGGGGCGTGCGCTTGTAGCGGCAAAAATAGTAGCAGCACAGATTTGCACCATTACTTTTTGCTGCCCTTGCATATGTGCTTTGTTGCAGGGCAAAATGCCCCGCTTGAGGCAAACTGCCCTCTCTTCACTTCTTCCAGCTCCAGGTGTGCTGGAGGAGCTGGGGCAGAACTAAAGGAGGGGAGACACTACTGTCTGGCAGAGCCAGAGCAGCCAGAACATCTCTCTACAGCAGGGGTTGTCAACCGGGGGTACTTTGAAAAGTCACAGGGGGTACATGGGGACAGAGCGCCGCCACCCTGCACCACTGTCTCACAGGAGTAGGGCCTGGGTGGCATGAAAGCAGGGCCACACAGACACAACACTGCTGCCGCTTGCCACCCTATGTTCCCTCTAAGGAGCAGCGGTCCGTGAGCGCGCTGCCTCGGTCCGTGAGCGCATCGCCTCAGTCCAGTGTGGGACACTTACTGAAGAGGACCGGGGGCTGGGGCCAGGGGCTGAAGGCTGTGGGCCAGTGGCTGGGACCAGGGGTGGGAGCCGGGGGCTCTGCTCCCTGGCCTTGACGCCACGTGCCTCCTTGCTCCCTGAGGCGATGCGGGGGAGCGGAGCAGTGTACCAGAGCCTGCAGAGCCTCACTGGGGCAGGTAGCGGCTCCTCCCCGAGGTGAGGCAAGGCAGGGATGGAGGCTGGGGCGGGGGGCTGGCACAAGCTTTGCTAGTTAGAAGGGCAGGAAATATTTGTATTAACCCCATTCTTTCTCATCAGGTAGGTTGCTAGGGACGTAAAGTAAGTTCCTAGCTAGTATGAAATCAAGATCAATACAAGCAGTGAAAATGAAACCACTGTTTTCTCTGTGGTTGACATGCAGTACTTCATCTGTTGACAAAACAGCTCATTCTGATCTTTTTTTTTTTTCATAGTGGCTTTTGCTATTGAAGACAGGAAATTACAGTGGGATCTGCTAAAACTAAGGCCCTAGAGTGAAATTCTTTAGATTGTTGGATTTGCTGCAGGGATGAGGGAGTATCTTTTGTCATTTATTGTGTTGTAATGGTGAAAAAACCAAAAAGATAAGTAGTATATGCAGCTTGTATGATTTCCCTTCATCTTTGTTTTGTCAGAATATGAACAAAGCAAATGTTAAACATACTTGTTTTTCATATTTCCCATCAGAGTGTACTGTGGGGGAGGTAATTAAACTAGATATTGGTGAGCACCACCGGAAGCATTGGGGCAAAAGTCCTACAGATTCAGTTTTGAAAGTACTGGGAGAAGCAGAGCTACAGCTTCAGACTGATGTAATGGAGGAAATAAGTATCACAAATGGTAAGCAAGAATCGGTGGTTTTCTGAACTGCAAGGCTGCAAAATAACTTTTCATAGACTGATATTTTGGAATTAGAGAAACATTTTTTCCTTATACAGTACATCACATTTTGCCTCAACTTGTTTCTGAAGGAATATTTTTAGTTGGGCAAAACTTTCTTGTCTCCAGTTAATAATGAGGGATTAGAAATTTGACAAAGTGGAATACTTTTCCAGTAAAGGACAAAACAAATAGAAATCAGTGTTTTAAAAACAATCACAGTACACTGTTTTAAACCTTCCGTTAAGTTGTTTAACCGTTCTATCACTTCTTGATATCAACTTTTCTGAAGTCTTCCATTCCTGCTTGTTTCTGACCTGTTTCCAATGAGATAAAACACCTGTTTCACTCTTGCTTTTGTATCTTACTGCTTTTGAGGTTGGAACATAGAAATTATTAGGGCTTTGGCATGTCAACTGTTAATATTTTTCTTTTCCTCTGCTGAGAATCTGAGACCCTTCACTGTGGTGTCCTAGCAAAAACCTACATCCATGTTGTTGCACTTGAATTTTTTATTACATGTGTAATCCTATGCTTTAAAATTTAAATGGACTGTTATTTTGTAAATGGTATTTTTCTATATTACAATAAATGTCTAAAGCAAAAAACTTCATATTTTCAACTCAGTCTTTTGCAGTGTTGTTAGGTTTACCCTTATCAAAATATCAGCAGTATTACTTAGCTGAGTAAGCATAACAGTCATATCTTATAGTCTAAGTAAGCTTGAGTCAGTTTGTAGTTACGTCACTTTGTTTTATTTTTTATTTTAAATCAGGCACACGTGCAACCTTTCATGCATCAAACAGTTATACTCTTATAGGTAAAAATAGAACAATTCTTGGTGAAATCTGAAATCCAGCAACATACTGTGCACACTATCTGGTTTATTAGTCCTAAACAAAGAAACTTAAAAGATACTAGAAAACTGCTTCAGTTATAGCAAGTATAATGAGTTAATTTTGTTAGAACAGAGTAAATGCATCTTTTTACTTAAAAAAGGGTGTTAAATGTGGTGGTTTCCCCTGTATTAGTGCCAGTGCTTGCCTGTGTATGGAGACTTAGCTTAATTTATTGGCTTTACAATTTGCTGTTTACCAGATTGAAACTTGTGCCAAACCAGGTATAACTCTCTGAGGTTTGTTTTTTTTTAAACTGTACAGTAAATTTTGTATTTGAAACTGTAGAAATATCTGAAGAGGAAACTTCTCAACCTTTAACAGTAAAAGAGCAAACTGCTTCTCCAATTGAAGAGAAATCTTCAGAACCAGTTGTTGTCACTGAGTCTGAAAGGACAATACCTGAGGAGTCGCAGACATCTGGAACCACCCAGATTTTGTCCCTGCCTGCTGTGCTGGATGGTATGAGTTTTCATTAATACTATTTAGGGTTAAGGAATTAATAATGGTGTAACTCTGGGTTCCTTTTTAAAAAGAAAAATTTGCCAGAATTTTGATATGATTAATATATCATTATAGGTTACAAATGGAATATGTTAAATGTCAAAACTCTGTTTGATTTGTTATGTTGTGCGACTGTCTGTGGAACAAGGAGATGCCAAGCTTTTTCACTGAAGAGGCATCTACATATTTTCCAATTCTAAATGGGGAACATTGGTGCTGCTGAGTTTTCAGGAAACCAGTGCTCTTTGTGGCTGTGAGAATGAATAGTGGGTTCTATAAGGAGGCAGAGCTGCCATCATAACATCCTTCTATTAAACCCAGACTGCGTCCACATGAGTGTGGAGATTTGTTTCCCCGGGGACAAGAAGCAGCAGCATAACTTGTGCCACTGCTACTTGTCCCTGGGAATACCTGTGCCACATGTGCTCTGGCACATAGGTTATCATGGGTGGGGTAAGGGAGGCTGGGGCCAGCAACCATGCCCCAGCAGTCTCATCTGAGTCCTGGGAGCCTTGGGGAGCTGCAGCTGTGGTGATCCTGCCACTTGGAGCCTAGTCAGCCACTGGAGTGTGGCTCTGGGCAGCCAGGCTCTGGTTTTGGATGGCCCACGCTGCCCCTGCAGGCACTGCCCTGCTTTCTTCGCATGGGTATTTTTTGACCCCAGGATCTCCCAGGGTAAAAAAAAACCCTGTACTGCTACCTTGCAGGGAACATGTGAATGCGCAGTATGCGGTGCCGCAGACAGGTCTGCAGCGCCACATACCTCAGGGTCGCGCTCATCTTTCTTTGCCACGTCCAGCTTTTAAAACTCCAAGGATGTAAATGTAACTATTTTAAGATGAGAGAGCTTTCCTTGAAGCTTCTCTGTTTTTTTTCAAGGAATGTATTTTACTTGATGCTCTTCAGTTGTGATTTTATTGAATTTAGAGCCTGATGATTTGGAAACAGAGTTGCTGGAAGAAATAGAAGGAAATAAAAAGCACAAAAGCAAAGAATTTCCCATCACTGTTAATGATGTGTGGATTAAAGAAAAAGAAGTGAAGGAGAATGGGTAATTATATTTTTTTCTTCTTTTCTTTAGTGCTGCCTGTAGTAGCATTAGAATCACTAACTAGTTTTTCACTGATAACTAGATAACTAGATAGTTTACTTAAATATTATGTTTGGTTTTGGTTCCCCTGTTTGTCTTTGTCTTATTATGGTTAATTTTAATGGGTGGTTAATTTTTCAGTAGATGCATGTGTTAATTAATTTGATGTGGTTTCTTTTTCTGACTGTGGTATCCTGTCATAGGCCACAGAATGATTCTGCCTGTCAGCAAGAAAATGGCAGTGATGATACAGCTTCAGAGAAAGAAATGCTAGATAAAGTCCAACCACAGGATGAAGCTTCATTAGGTCAGTCAGTAGATCTTACTTTTTATTTATTTATTTAATTAGTAGCATTGATAGTAATTCCTTTTTCCTATAGGCTGCTTACAGGCATAACTACCCCCCCCACTCCAAAAAAGCGCTTTATTTTGAACTTGGTGCACCCCCACGCTGAGCCCAATGCACACCCAGAAAAGGCATTGTTGTTTCCTAACCAATATTTTTGACCACCAAATTAAAACAGTAAAAATAAGTGAATCCAAAGTACGGTAATTAACTGGTATGTGTTTTTTAGTAAAATTGGGCTATATGAATGGAACCCCGTCTACCATCAGCTTTTGAGCCAAATAAGTTGCACAAGGACAGTCACTAGGCCAGATCCCGGGGTCAGCACTTAGACTGGGCCATGCACTGCCCCACCCGAGCCCCACGTACTCAGGTTGGGTGTGCAGCTGTTCAGCTCACCTGGCTCCACATGGGTCTGGAAAGTTTTGGATCCTTGGGGAGCCCTGCAGGCTTAGAGGATTGGAGGGTTTTTTTTTTAAATGTACATAGATCTATAACATTATTTCTCTTATCATGCCAGAAACTTGTCTTGGTCACTCTATGCAACCTGAACCCTTTTTCCAGAGGGTGGCACAGCCCCACACCAGACCAACAGCCTCACCAATTTTGTCAGCTCAGTCTTCACTGGATGAGTCATTTCCACCTCGCTCACGCTCTGTATCACCAGCCAAAAGTAAAGGCAAAAGTTCATTGTTGATTGGGCTTTCTACTGGCTTATTTGATGCAAACAATCCAAAGGCAAGTACCTAAAGCTTATTTTTATTGATAGACTAATGTTATCTTGGGGCTTGTCTGTACGAGAACCTCTACATCATGTATTTTCTCACATACTACAGGGCCACAAATCAGATATGCACCTTATTTTTTGGAAGGCAGAATGTAGAAAGATATTTTTCCCTGAGTCTTATGATATGGAGTAAGTCCTCCTAGAAACATAATCATAAAGGAAGTGTGGCACCCCAGGAGACAGTCTAGGGGAGACAGTTCTGGTATAGCAGGACAGCGACAAGGGTAGGCCCCAGACCCTTCAAGGGAAGCAACAAGACTGCTGCTGCTTTGCTGGAAGCAGCTATTTAAATAAGTTCCTGGAAATAATGAATTATTGCTTGCACACCACACACCTGATAAGATGCTACAGACTGCAGTAGCTTGTTTGTCTTCAGTCCACTTAATGGCTCTTCAGCCAAAACCTACCTACCAACAGCTTTGAGAGAGTTAACACTGGACACTTTACCTGCTGCTTGCTCCTTCTGGGAGAAATGGCAGACATTTTGGCAGATGTTTCAGCACAGAGTTTCCTTGCCTCTTTCTTCCATGCTTCTATTCCAGTGATGTAAAATCTAAGACATACACCCCAGTTTCGGAAACCTGAATGTGGGGGAGGGGAGGAGAGAAGTATGTATCGTGTGCAAATAAATCCAGTAGCTTTTTCAGCAGAGGTGCCTACATAGTCAGCTCCCTTTGCCAGGTTGGTGTATTCTCATAGTACCTGGTTGCATTAAGAGAAACTGTGCAACATTGTGGGTAGGCACCTGTGTCCTGTGTCACTGTACAGCATATTATTTTGTGTGAAATTTTTGCTAGGTATTTCAGACCCTAGTATTCCTTGCTGAAAATATTTGGAGTATGAGTCCAATTTCTATGATTTCCTCTGATTTGGGGTGTTCTCTCTTAATCTGGCAAGATGTCTATTATTCTGACTATTAAAATCTCCATTCTGTTTGTCATTGAGCTTCTTTCAGTGCTGATTGTATTATCAGGGTGCTACTAGATTTTTTTTTTCTCCTGCCCTTTGCTGTGGCAGGCTTACCGAAAGATAACTTCCGTTGCCTGACATTGGAAGTTGTCCTTGTCATATCCCAGCATCTCCATCTCCTTTCTGTTGTCTGTATATTCACATTTGTTGCTTCAGGGCTTTCATGGCAGTGGCTGAACTTCTGCTTCTCCCCACAAGCTGAGGAAGTCCAGGACTACTTTCCTAGATCAAGCAGCAGCATAAGCTTTAATTGGAGGCTTACCTAGAGCTAAACCTGTGTGGTCACAAAGGTAGCAAACAGGCATTCCCAAAATACACCAGTATTTCATTTTAGGGCACTCTGACCCCTAGGTGTCACAGACAACCAAATTCAGTTATTTTGGCCACTGTTACGGGAACAATATCTTTCCGGGGCTTATTGCTGCATGACGCTGGCACTGGTGCAAGTACTTCAGCTTCTACACAGGTGTTGCTCTGCTGTACTGTACAGTAGGTCTTCTGGCACTTAGTGAGTTGGTTTACCTTCAGAAGTTTAGTCTGAAGGAATCAAAACTGGACATGAACACACTTAAGCCAGTGCCAACAGCAAGCAAATTCTAAGAGTAACACTTTGCAGTGAAAATATCAAGGTGTAGGATCGGGGGTGAACTGAATGCAGCCTGCGAAACCAGCACATTTGACCTGCCAGGCTCCCCTGGGGGGTCTGGAAGTTTTGATGTAAGGGAGTAGTGGCCATTAATATAGCCACAGCCCTCCTCCCACCCCACAGGCCAGGTCCAGCCCCCGCTTTTCCCACAGGGCTGGGTCACATTCCCTTCTCCCCAACAAGGCCTGGCCATGCTCCCTTTTCCCCAGGGGCCTGGGTTGGGCCCAGGCCACACCCCCTTTTCCTCCGTGGGACCAGGCCATGCAGTGGGGCCAGGCTATACCACAGGGCTGGGTCAAGGCCCTTTTCTCCCCTGTGGGGTCAGGTTACATCCCTCCTGCCTTCTTGGGGCTGGGTGAAGCCCCCTTCCCCAACCTGTGGGGCCAGGCTCAAGCCAGGCTGTTCTCTCCACCCCCTTCCACATGGCTGGATGGTGGCTACTGCCGTGGCCCTAGCTGCTAGACCAGAGCCACCATGTGGCCTGCAGTTGGACCAGCCACTGCCCATCTGGCCCACAGGGGGAAAAGGTTGTGCACCACTGGTGTAGGATATTACGTATACGTTGTAAGAAACCTAATTATCCTTACCAGAACCTTCTTATGTAAATACTGAGTGGACAGCTAATCTATGCTATGCTTTTATTTCTGTTGCCAATGAAATCAATGTGTTGGTTTTTTTTCATGTTCTTTTCCTGTTGTTTACTACTAGAAAAACAGACTTGAATTCAGCTTTGTCACATCACTTGTGTCTTTATTGTCCAAGCTGCAGATACAATAATCCAGAGCACCACGAATAATTAAAAGTAGATATTTCTTTTTTTTTTCAGTTGCCATTAAGCAAGGTGTCTTTAGTAGCCTACTAAAGAAATTAATTTTTAATGTATTTTTATAAACTGACAGGAATATTTTTTTTTTAAATGTGTGCATAAGCACATGCACATTTGACAGTACAGTTTTTGACCAATGTAACATTTTTATTATTAAAAAGTTATCTAGCAAAAAAGTGAACAGATCCACATGATAAAAGAAACTGGACATCAGTTTACATATTTTTTTCTGGGTTTCTCGTACCTTTTCAACATTAAAAAGGGAAAACATCCCTTTTACTTCTAATGGAAAACCTCATGGTTTCAGAATTTAGGATATACTTCCTGTGTGGTTTTTGTTTTCAGATAAAGCATCAAAATAGATTTTCATACTTTGCTTTAATTTTTAAATATAGTTGTTCCATGTTCTGTTACTGAATCGTTATAAAAACCATCTTAACGTGAGGTGTTTGTGATCTTTATAGATGTTAAGAACATGTTCACTCCCAGATCTTTCCAAATTGTACAAGGCAGTAGTTGATGTTCCAAGTATAGCAGATGTACAACATCAAGACAATCTTGAAATAGATGATATGGAAGATGAGCATGTCAAAGAAGGACATTCTGATTCTGATGACCTGTAAGCATAAAACATTTACTCAATATTGCAGAAATATTTAGAATATCTTTAGTTGGGTATGAATAACCAAGTTACTGATATGTATTTTTTGCTCTCCCATTGTAAAAAAACCCCCAAAAAACAAAAAAACCCAACCAAATAAACAAACAAACAAAAAAACCCCAACCCTTAACCCACTAATCACTCCAACTACCGCCATTCTCTCTTTTCTCTCTCAGCTTATTAAATGTACAACTGTTATCTGGAAATCCTCTCCTCCAGTTCCATCTTAAACTCTCTCTAAAGCAGGGGCGGGCAATTATTTTCAGTGGAGGGCTGTACCCCCAACCCTTAACCCACTAATCACTCCAACTACCGCCATTCTCTCTTTTCTCTCTCAGCTTATTAAATGTACAACTGTTATCTGGAAATCCTCTCCTCCAGTTCCATCTTAAACTCTCTCTAAAGCAGGGGCGGGCAATTATTTTCAGTGGAGGGCTGCTTACCCAGTTTTGGCAAGCTGTTGAGGGCCGCATGAGTAGCCCCGTCCCTTGACAGGTGCCCCGCCCCTTGACAGGTACCCTGTCCCCTGGTCACCATCTTGGGACCAATGTCCCAGGGCCAGCACCAGTGGGGCCCAGAGCAGGGTGCAGGCCGGCAGGGGTCTGTGGAGCTAGGCTGGGCTGCACCAGCAGGGAGAGGGGGGAGCTGGCCTGACTCCATAGAGCCCCTGCCAGCCGGGACCCTGTGCTCCTGCCACGCTACTCTGGGCCCCGCTGGAACTGACCCCGAGACACCGGTGCGGGC